CAGGTTCTGACTGGCGTTGCTCAGCCAGTACCATTTGGCCAGGGACAACAATTTTTACCAGTTCATCCACCAAATCCTGGAGCATTTGTTCAGAATCCTCCAGGAGCTCTTCCTAAGGCAGATCCCGATAATCACCTCAGTCAGGTGGATGTCAATGAATTGTTTTCAAAACTGCTAAAAGCAGGAATTCTCAAATTGTCCCAGCCTGATTCAGCGACAACACAAGTCAATGAAGTTGCTGCTCAGCCTCCCGCTGAAGAGGAGGAAGGTCAAAATGAAGATCGAGATGTTCCAGATCTTACCAATTTTACAACCGAAGAGTTAAAACAACGTTATGATAGTGTTATAAATCGACTGTACACTGGTATTCAGTGTTCCTCTTGTGGAATGAGGTTTACAACATCACAGGCAGATGTATACGCAGATCACTTGGACTGGCATTATTGGCAAAATAGAACTGAAAAAGGCGCTAGCAGAAAGGTTACTCATAGACGTTGGTACAACAGTTCAGCAGACTGGATAGAATGTGAGGGAACAGCTGATTTGGAAGAACGTGCAAAGAGCCAGTTTTTTGAAAAGGTGCATGAAGAAGTTGTGCTCAAAACTCAGGAAGCTGCTAAAGAAAAGGAGTTCCGAAGTGTGCCGGCAGGGCCAGCTGGAGCAGTGGAGAGTTGTGCAATCTGTCAAGAACAATTTGAACAATACTGGGATGAAGAAGAGGAGGAGTGGCATTTAAAGAATGCCATTAGAGTGGATGGAGAGACTTATCATCCATCATGTTATGAAGATGACCAAAATACATCTTCATTTGATTGTACACCATCTCCCAGCAAGACCCCATTTGAAAACCCTTGGAACATTATGTTGAGCGCTGTCAAAAATGAATCGCAGGAACCCCGTGACAGTCCCAAAGTTAAGGAAGAACAAATTGATGCCCCACCAGCTTGTACAGAGGACAGCACAGCAACACCCGTTGAGTGGAGAAGAGCCTCTCGGAGCTGCTCCCGAGACGTGGGCTTTAGCCGTAGGAGGGGGGCGCGGGCACCTAGCGGGAGGCCATCAGCAAGGGCCCGGCCTGTCTGGGGCTCTCAACATCAGTCCCCTTCCTCTCCAGGCAAAGATGGGATGTGCCCAGTCACGTGGCCTGAGCAAGCCCCTCCCCTTCGTAGATTCCGGAGGGTACGGATGACCCCTGCACCAGGTCCATTAAATGAAAACAGAAAATGATACAGTTGAGTCAGTTTAAATAAAATGAGAAAAGTATGTTTTTCATTCTTTTTTTTTTTTTTTTAAAGCTGCTGTTTGGATCTAGGTGAAGAATTTCTTTTATGTATATATAGAACTCTCTGTAGAAATGGTCTAGCTGAGGCAGGGCCTTCAGCTATCATTTGGTTAATAAATACATTTTCGTATTTGCATAGCCCACTGCCTGCACAGATTCCGGTGCTTGTTGTGTGAAAGTTCTGTAGATGTGTGCAAATTTAACAAAACGAAATTGTTATGTATAAAAATGTACGATTTTCACTTGTGAAACTGTAAATTATAAATAAAAGCTATTTTTGCTACCCCCCCCCCAAAAAAAAGACAATTGTGTCCTCAGCCGCCAGCCCTCTCCGCATGCACCTCCACACCTCTGTATTTTACTTCTGCCACCGCACCTCCTCTGAGCCTTGGTATGCTTTTCTCTTTCCTTCTAGTTGTAGAATTTCCACTCAGCCAGCCTTCCTGTGTTTCTGGATGATGTCTTGTAGTTGTATTTTGAAGTGGTTGTGCGAGGCAGCAATCTCCGGTGTTTACCTATGCCGCCATCTTGGTTTTCGGCCTCAATTTTTGGTTTTAATTCTGTTAACGTAAAAAAACCATTGAAACCTGTAAAGAATTTTTGTGAGTTTATTTGAGCCAAACTGTCGACATATGCCGGGAAGCAGAACCTCAATGAATTGAGATAGTGCTCAGGAGAATGGCAGGGTTACATCCGTATTTATATATGAAATTCATTGGTGACAGATTTAAGGAGGTGGGATTAAGCGAAGTGGGGAAACCTCTGTGATAGGATAGCAGGATCAATTAACATGATAATGAAGGAATTTGTAGTATCTGTCCTGGCACCCAGAACATTTGGTTGTGCCCCAGGGGCTCCAGAAAAAAGGGAAGTTACAAGTTACCCAGACATTTCAAGGGTATGTTATCTTAGAGGCAAAAAGGCAAATGGGCTCAGTAAGGATCAAAGTTGATCTTGTCAGTGAAGATACTGGCCTAGGACATAACTGTCCACCATAACTGCTTTTAGTTAAAGTTTAATTTCAGACCATCCTTTGTGGTTACTTTAGGTCTCCGAGTCTGCAGAACTGCCATGCAGGCCTCTCCTGAGCTTGTCAGGTCAGCATGTGGCCCCTTTCGTCCACACATCCCCCTTTTGGTCATAAATCAATCCAAAGGATGCATTGATGACCAACCTTTTGGTTGGATAATGGAGTCCCACGTTGCTAGGAAGGCTCATTCCTAGGATGTCTCAGTGTCAGCATGTCTTGCTGAACAGGTGGACCACGGGGGATGGGGCAAGACCATAACCTTAGATGGCATTTAAGGTCGAATTATTATTATTTAAAAAAGGGCAGGTAAATGGGAGGCAGTCAGGTCCTATACGTCCTTGTTAAAAAGTATTCTGGATCATTTCTAATTTTGGAGCCATCATGATCCGAGTCTTTTTGCTGTTTGTCTTAAATTTTGCTTTTCTGCATCTAGTATAACATTTACATATCATGAACACAAAAATCATAAAGGTATTGATTACATCCCAGGGCTTGGAACGAGGAAACTGGTTCGCAAAAAAAAACAGTTTACAGAAGCAGAATTTAAGCATGTTAATTATTGTCCTGGGTCTCGGGGTTACTGAATTGACAGAAACACCCCATTCTAGAGCCCTCGGGTCCTGAGACCACCGAGTTGCCAGGAACTCACTATCTAGAGCCATCGAGGTAATTTAGAGTAAATGCGCTGTCCTGGTCATGGGACCACTGAGTCAACTGGAACGCACCACCTGTGGCCACTAAAACAATTTAGGGTAATTGTGCTGTTCTGTTTCCCAGGTACAGAAGAATGTGCTTCGATAACCAGTAAGATCACAATCAATGGGATAGTCATTCAATTGAATGGGATGATGTATATAATTCAGAAAATTAAAGTAACTTTTAAACAAGGCAAATAGGTACCATATTTCATTCCCCACTGGTTTTATGTACATGAGTCAAATCATGGACTCATCTTTACTAGTTAGGGGATTGTACTGCCCCCTAACTACAAGTATTTTGTCCAAATTAATTTTTTTTTTAACTGCCAGCTTGGTACATTTATTTTCTTTTACTCACCCCATTTCTTATAGGGGCATTCTCTATTCTGTTCCTGCTCTCCTGTCCCCTTGTGCATCTAGCCCCACTTGGCCCTGGACTTTCTCACTGGCTAGAAAAAAAAAGTTTTTACAGTTACCAAGTGCCCTAGTGCCATGGTCCCCATTAGTACTGTCCTCACTGAAGTCCAGTTCCCCTCCTGCGGGCGTCAAGCCTCCTCCTGGCCTGCGTGGAGCCCAGGCTAGGGATCTCACGGATTAAGCCGCTAGCTGCCGGGATCAAGGCTGTTTTCTGGTGCAGGAGCTGGGAGTGGTGTAGCCAGGTCTGGATGCCGTCAGCAGGGCGACAGTGTATAGTCCTTCTCAAGTTGGGGTGAGTCCTTGGGTCGTGAACTTCTTTACCCACACGAGTCCCCAGGCTGGAAAGGATGTACAGAGTCCGAGGTGGGCACTGGCAGGGCATCTCGAACAAGCTTATGGGTGGCTTGTAATTTCTGTAAGAGATCACATCCAGATAAGGGGTAGAGGCATTCTGGCATGACTAGAAAGGAATGAGTTACCGTGTTCTTTCTGAGGTCCACAGTCCTCTTTGACGTCCAAGGAAAAAAAGGCAGTTTGCCCGGTGGCTCCTAGAACTGGTGTCTTCTTAGATGGTACTGGTCCCATTGGCTCTGTCAAGACTGAATAAGCTGCTCCAGAATACACCAGGAAACTAATCGGGGGTCCTATTTATCCACAAATACTTTAAAATCTACCCCAGAATTTCAAAATTTCAACCCAACACAGAAATATCACAGAGCAAATCAAAGTCCCTACTAAACAAACAGAAATTTTAACTAGTTAGGTGGGCTGATTCCACCTCTGACAGAGAGCAAGCACCCTTTAGGAAAAGAACCCAGTGGCCACTTGGGGCATTTTGCCATTGGTCAGAGCATTCAGCCTTAAATCAAGCATTTTTTTTTCAGACTTTCACATTTACATGAACAAATAATTATACCTAAGTAGACATACAAACATCAAATAGACATCCACACTTACATCCTTTCAGTGAACAAGTACTTTTACAGTCTTGGGATCTTGAGCAGAAAACAGGAAGACTGCCCAAGTCCCCTGATGGGGGCCTGACAAGAACAGATGTGAGGGCCTTTGGCTGGGGGGTATAAAGTCTCCATTCTTCCTCCCTCGGCACTGCTAAGGGCAGGATCATTGAAGAGGTCTCTTCACCTAGACAAGGCTGTGCTGAGCCATCTGGGGCAAAAGTGGTTTCTGCTTTCATTTTGGCTAAAAGGTCTCTGCCCATTAGAGGGACCAGGCAATTTGGCAAATACAGGAATTCATGAACCACCTGATGGCCGCCTAACTGACATCGGCGGGGGCGGCAGAACAGTCTGCAGCTGTGGTCCGGGTAGCTCCAATAATGCTGACTTCCTGTCCTGAGAGGAGAGCTACCTTCTGAGTAACTACCGAGTGCTCTGCCGCTGTATCAACCATAAAGTTCACCGTCTGGCCCCCGATTTTCATTTCGACCATCGGCTCATGGGGGCCCAGTTGGAAAGAGCCCAGCCTGTCCTAGTCAGAGTCAGCTGTTGCCAGTTCGAGGAGGTCTGCCTCAGGCGGCTCTGGCCAATAGCGGCTGGGTGGTTTGGATGGCCTTGCCAGCTTCTTCTGGCCTGCTCCTGCCCTGCCTGCCTCTTCACTCCTGCTACTAAACCTTACTCTGTCCCTTCTTACACACGCAGAACCGGACCCAAGGCGGCAAGGTTTGAGCAATTTTAAAATTCTTTTATATATTTTAAGACAGTCAAGTTTGAGTTTGAGGAGGAGCTATTACCCATGTTGCAGGGAGGGACCGGATTGCCTCCTCCAGAATAAAAGAACTAATCAAAATAAGGCTTATTTTCTAACTTCATTTGTCCCTGGGTGTGGACAACAAATGACACTAATCAGATTGACATAAACTATTTAACCTTTGTTTAGGTAGGCAGATGCAAATCATTTACTCCAAATGTCTTTGATTTAGGGAAGACAGGATTTTTGTTTAGTTTCCCTATTCCACTGGTCCCAGCTTATTGACCTATCATGCATTCAACTTTCTTTGAACATTTCTCTTCCCTCTTACCACATACACAACCTTTACAAATTTCATACTTTCAAGTTAGCCTTCAAACCTTCTTTCTATGTCCTTCAAAAATGCATAACCATGCCTCAGACCTTCCATTAAGTATTTCTTTACCTTCCTCCATCACACCAAAGCTGTACATTCCAGTTAGTTAGAAGTCTGAGCCTTAATTAGTGACATGTAAGTAATTAACATTCCTCAGATTAGCAATACATTCATATTTTTTTTAAGAGACACAAACAGAAATTTCACTAGCTAAATAATTTTAGACAACAAAGACACATATTTAAACAATAAAGACAGATAACAATCCCCATTAAAAACTTTGAATCACCACGGCTAGCAATATCAGTTTGTGAGCATACAGGCCTTGTTGACGTCATCTTGGGATAGCTGTCTGCCTCTCTGTGGTCAGCGACTTCTCATCCTCGAAAGGCCTCAGCTGTTTCTCGCCCTTGAAAAGTCTCTTATCTCCGTTGCAGATGGAGATGGGTGTCAGAGATGGGAGTAGATGTCCATTCACAGTCAGGTGCCTTTTTCAAATGAGAAATGTGAATCCAGAGCTAACTCCTTTAAATTTAGCTGCACATAGGTCAGTTAGTAATACCTGGTAAGGTCCTCTCCAACGGGGTTGGAGAGTCTTTGATTTGGTGTCTTTTCGAACACACCAAATTTCCTGGTTGTAAGCCATGATCTTTGAAATCTTCGTCTCCCAGGAGCGCACTATGAAATGAATCTGTTACCA